CAGACAATACATGTACATGAACGAGACAGTACATATACATGTACATGAATTAAGTTGTTTCTTTCGCTGTAGAGAGGTTAACCTTCCTTCAGGATGTGTTCAAGGAAGGTTACATCCTGTGACTGGCACCAGATTAGAATTAATCTTGTCTGTCCTTAATTTTGATAGCATCAGTCTTGTATTTGAAGCATCTGTGCTATGAAAACATTATTCATCATCAGGAAACACATAATTATAATTGTTTTGTTATTCAACTTCAGTGAGACTTTCTTCTCTTTAGCAAGTGGTTGCCCAAAATGGCATTAAATTCTGCCTTACTGTAACAGTACACTTTAGTGGGCTATATCACAATCAAAGCTTCATTTTATGTTGTTTAAACAAACAATTGCTTTTTAAGCCTAATCCCAGTGTGGTTTAAATTATTGTTTGCTCTAAGTATGCTAATAAGGAAGAAAAAGGTAAGCAGATCAGAAGTAATTCTGGAGACAGATATTTGGTGATATCCTTCGGTATATCAAAACTTGTGAAGTGTGACCTGTCTCTATCATGGTTTCAATTCAACTTTGTTTATATAAAATACCACCCTGGAAATGTTAAATTACTGCTGTACATTTAGTTATATTATATATACAGAGCATAAAATTGACTTTTGTAACAACCAGTAAATCAGTTTAAGCCATTTTGAAATTAAGTCATGAATGAAAATATTTACAGTGTTTAATCTGTTGATAGATGAATAGTCATTTCTGGGATGTCATTGTGCCTCGAGATGAGTTTTCCTTTAAATCCATTCATAAAACATTTGTGTCACCTGCATGTTCATTTTCATGTAAGTCAAACTCATTTTCATTGTGTGTCATTTTGCACAAGCACTCATTTTCAAACAGATACTAAATGCAAGTACTTGGAAATGGCTTACTGTATGTCTGGAGACAAACGTAATACCAAATTTATTCTTAGACTGAGTGGTATACATTGTAATTGATGTGTATCCTTCTCAGACAGGGTAAATATTTTTTTAGGAATTTACTTGTATTGTCAGTTTAAATGCATATTTTTCCAAACCTTTAATCACAGTAAAACTAATAACGCATATAGGCACTTAAAAGCTTTTCATATAGCTTATCAGTAATATGTAACCTTTTGAAAAATATATATAAACTGTCTGAGCAGGATATGTCATTTAAGACCTACCAGGACTGGTTTCATTTACATTTACATTTACAAGTGTCTTGGTTAAATGTTATTTCAATTAGCGATTAATCAGCTAAGGGTTTTGAATACATTTTCCACCTTGTGTGGTATAATTGCTTAGAATACTAGGTTAGAATAAGAACAGTTGTTGTTCATGTGGTCTTACGCCAAATGAGTGTAATTTTCTTTGTTAATCAGCCACTGTAAAAAGTTGTTTTATTATGAGAAGACATGCTAACTTTCAAAATAATATTACTTTTTGTTAATATTTAAGGCAGGTTGAATTTCAACTACCATTTCAAATTTCACTTTTAAGTTGCAATGGTCGGCATTTTCAGCAATGATAGCTCAGTAATTTTTTGTGAAAGTTGAAAGACTTCCTTTTATTTTACGGGTTTTTTTTTAAGGTTGAAAATTTGTCATTTATTTGATAGATGTAGTAGAAATAATTTACATGTATTTTTTTTTCCTCCCTTTGTAATTATATTTCTGATCATAAAGTACCTACATTGTAAACAACACATCTGAAGGTTTTTCAGGGTGTCAGTGAATGTAAACCTACATGTACATGTAGTTCATGACTTGGGTAATATATTGAAAGAGTTCATCAGCTACAAGTGAATATATAAAAGATTATCTATTTGAACTGCAGAGAAAGATATCATATGAAGACATGGTTGATCATCGGAGTTATAACTTAATAAGTAGTGATGTAAAGTTTATATGAAATATTTCATATATGAACTGCGGTTATAGATGAAAGTGAAGAATGATCATCGCAGTAGTTGTGAAATTGCTTAATATAATAAGTTGTATGTATAATTGCGATGATCAATCCTGTCTTCAGTACATCAGCTGTAGGTAATTTACTCTATGACAGCTGTTTGTATTGTACATTCTACCCTGATGTAACTTAGTAATTAAATTAACAGTAACCATAATGACCTTGTTCAACTTGGCTCTCAAGAGATTGTTTACTTGTTTGCATTATAGGAAACCAAAGGGGGCAAAGCTCACATAAAGGTATGGAAAACTTTAGATTCCTGACCACCAATTTAGTTTAGATTTGCTGCTTGTAATTAAATTATTTTCAATTTTGGCAATGTTCAAATAGCTGTTTTTCATTTCTGTATTTAATAGACACATTGGAACGTGAGAACTAAATGTTTAACAAAATTTACAGACTGATAGTTTGACAACAGAATGTTGTTAACTAGTAATGTTTAATTTCAACTGCAGACAATTACATGTAATTATAATCTGTGAACACCTTGAGTAAAAGTATTGTATGGTGAAACATTAGCTTCCACAACCCTCTCTGTAAGTCTCTTACACAGTCCAGAAGGGTTGTGGTGGTCAGGAGAAAAATTCTTGAAGGTCAGGGAAATGTCTGGGAATTTAAATTTAAGTCAAGAAAAATTGACATTTTCTTCAAAAGTCAGGAAAAACTGATTTTGGTCTATACCACTGAAGGCAGGAAGATGTATCTCAGCAATGTCACTGTATCTCTGCAATGTTTTTCCTTGATGAAAAAGACAAATTTGTTGAAAGCTTATTAGTCGTAGAGAAAATGGTGGAAAGGACGGTTGAAGGGGAGGCTAGAGATGGCTACCATAGTAATTAATATATATCTGGCATTTTGTATTTACTTTGTCAGGAAACTATAATATTATTAAATAAATTTTGAAAACTGATGTCTTCGGCAACCATGACAGTGAACTGTCGTAATTTTCATTGACAGACAACAGTTCTCCATTCTAATGTTTCTTTCTTGAAAAGCAGCTGTGAACTCAACTACTCCCCACCCCCTCCCCCACTTCTGCAAAAAAGAATTTTAACCACAAAGGAAAGACATGTATACCGTTGCATCAATTGGCATACACTGTACTATTAATATTTGTGAGCTTTTCTATAAATTAATTATTAATGAAGAATGCTTTAATTTAAATTTTTTTTCCCAGCTTGGCTTTGTGGACATCAACCTTGCAGAGTTTGCTGGATCAGCTTCATTTACTACAAAGCGATATATATTGGAGGGGTATGAAGACAAGACTTTGCGACAGGACAACTCTATTCTTGAGGTATTTTACACTATGTTGTGAACTACTGTGTTTTGTGAACTATGTTTTGTGAACTGATCAACATGACACAAGCGTGGGACAAAGAAAAATCTGAGACCCCAACAGGAATCAAACCTCTGACCTCCCGAACACCAGGCGGGTGCTCTATCCACTGAGCTACGGGAACTCATGGAGAGCAAGGTCATTAAGGTCATTTAGCTGAGTTAATATGTGGCAAGTGTCCTGCATACTGCTAGGATCAGCACTGTCGAAGTCTTCCTGAGTGTGATAAATGAATAAAGATGGTGAATTTTAAGCGCAGTAATGAAATGTGAAAAGTGAACTACTAAACATGACACAAGTGTGGGACAAAGAAAAAGTCTGAGTCCCCGGCAGGAATCAAACCCATGACCTCCCGCACACTGGGCGGGCACTCTATCTACTGAGCTACGAGAACTCATGGAGAGCAAGGTCATTTAACTAAGTTGTGTTGTTAGAAAAATGTATTTCCTTTTTTTTTTCTTTTTGCAAAATATTGTGCTACAAATATATCTTTTTAGAAACCTTGAGAATAATATTGTAAACACAGGCTAGTACAGAAATCTCATGAGAGATCTTTTTTGCCACTTAGTGTCAGTGTAGGAGAAACTGCTCGCTTGGTAGATGTGCCCAGTAGTTTTACTTAATTAGTTCTTTTTATCATTTTTGAAGGAAAAAAATTAATGAGAATGTTGGTCCTTATAGTGACTTTGCAGTGGTTGCACAGTCTGTACGTAAGCTTTACATCTCATTTATTTTCAATTGCTTACGTGTGTTTAAGGTTGAAGTTAGCATGCAGCTCACATCAGGAGATCCACTTTTTAAAGTGTAAGTACACAACTGAAGACTTGCTTTTAATTATTTTTCTACACTATGGCATATAGAGGATACATTGTGAATTGTCCCTCTAAGAAAAGGTCTCATCAGTATCATGTGAATTTTTCTTCCAAAGGCCTTATGCACCTTCACACAATCAAATAACTACAGAAACTGCAGAAAACAGAGCACCACCCTCTGACCATCCTGTTGAGGACTCAACAAACAACTCAACTGCAGGGGCTGAGGCAGGGAAATCAATCCTCAGCAGTAGCCCAGAAAGTGCGGCAGAAAGCCAGGATGCTGCTGGCAGTGATCCTGACAAAGTGTCATTCATTCCTGGGCATGCACGCAGCTTCAGTGAACCAGCGTGCAGCAGTAACAACAGTAGCCATGTCAGGAGCACCAGTCAATTGTCACGGATATCAGGGTACTCTACTGGTCATTCTTTTTCATCCAGCTTGGAGGGGAGATCTAGTAGGAGGTATTCTATATTAGAATGGTGTTGGCATACTGAAGTGGCATGCACTCACCATTTCTTTACATGCCTTTTTGTTTAGCTTGTGTTCAAGAACATTTTATTTGAAAATTTTCTGTTTTTTTTTTTTGTTTGTTTGTTTGTTTGTTAGAACTTACACACTGCTAAACATTTTTGTTTCTTTCCTTTGAATTTCTTCTGCCACTTCTGCCACTCTTTAATTTTTTTTTTTTTTTGCAAAGAATGATTTATTGTTCAAGTATGCAGCACCATTGGGTTTTAAAAGTTAGTTCATGTTATGTAACGTTGGGTAAATGCCAGCTACTAACACTTTTAAAACCCCCAATATTTCTGATTAACAAATATTGTATTAGATTACCAGGTTGAGATTTCTAATATATTACCAAGTAGCTTGTAGATTTCTATACATCAATATGTGTTAATATAAGCTTCATAAATGATGTACCAGTATCTAATCAGTATCTAATATGTAAAGTCACTGCCCTGAAGTTATACTGTAGTTAAGTACTAATTACTGTTGTCAATTTATGCAGGAAACAGAGTTCAGGATCAGGACATGTTAAACACTCAGGCTGTATCCTTTAATCCATTGTTTTATATAATTATACACAATTTCTTGTATTTTTTTTTTCATGTAAAAAGCGGCCCAAGAGTGTCTACATGCACCTGGCAGATTTGATGTGGAGGGAAAAAAGATTTGGAAGATTGGGGGAGGGAGAAGGGGAGGGGGAGGGGGTGGTCATGGGAAGGACAGGAGTGGTGACCCTCAGGATAATCTGCAATCCCATTTAGCAGAAGAGGCCATAGTAATGGATGTGGTAACCAGAATTAAGCAGTGGCAATGATGTGCTGGTCTGCTTCTCTGATGGTTGCTGGATTGTTTATTCCTCCTTTTTTCTGAGCTGTACAATGATGTGTTTATCATCCTTAACAATCCAAAAGCTGGTGACACCGCTTTTTGTGACTCTGAACAGACATTATCACCTCCTGCAGAAAGGCAAGGCAAAAGAATTAGTTGGAAGGTTTGTGCATGTAATCTATACATCTTTTAAGCAGTCACTGACTTAAACTTAGCTTGTTTTTCCACTGTTCTACTGTTGGTGATGGAGTACAATGAATGGTGAGTTTTTGGGATCAGGTGTTGAAATTTTTTGAACCCCAGTTGAAGCCCCTGTTAGTGGACACCCTTGGGACTAGAAAAAGTGTCTGCTAAAGAGTTTAGAGAGAGAGGTGTCTGTTTATGGGAGATGTCCGCTTACGGGAGGCGTCCATTAGCAGGGGTTCCACTGTAATGCAATGGTGGGAATATAAAACCTTAAAACTACATTGTAATCACACTGCATTTTTATTTCTCTGTAAACAGAAACAAGATGACCAAAGATCAAGTCACAGTAGAGTTAATGCAGATGATGTCATTGAGCAAATATTTAGTGGGTGAGTTAATGTAATTGATAAAGATTTATTATTATTGTAGTTATTATTATTTTCTTTCTTTTTTTTTTTACAGTCAACTACAAACTGGTAATTGTTGGGGTCTTTTGTTTTTTTTTTTTGAACTTCCCAAAAATCTTGTTGAAAGTAGATTTATGTAATACAGTATTTAACTGATAATTTAAGACAAGGATGGATATGGCAAGATTATCTTCCACATCTGCCATGGTACTCTTTTCCTGCTCCTGGGTCCACCTCTGGACCTTCTATATACCGGTATTTCGACAGCTGTGTAATCTATGTTTATTTCATCATTTGTGTAATGCTTGTAAATGATTTTCTTTCAGACACAATTTTTCAGGTGATGAAAATCCGTCAGGTAAAACACAGTACTAATGTCTTTTATTAAACGAATAATTATACATGTAGCAATGTGCATTTTTCTTGGCACACACAATGTGGCATTGATAGCTGGTTGGATAATTGTTGTTAATTATCACAGCTGATCAGAACATAATAGTTCACAAAAGTTCTTTTTTGGATAGGGTGTTCCATTTATTCTGGTAACACAGAGGGCCGTTTTGGTGACAAATATACAATCAACGCTAACTGACTGACCTTTTAGAAATCACAGTGAACCAACCAGAACATAACAGTGTTTAGTTGACTAACCAGTTTCTCATGTCAAGGTGTGTTTTGTGATATCAGTTGTGAGCTCTCTAATCAGCAGTGGAATGTAATTTCTCTATGGATTAGGTGATGAACTTCAAGGTAATCAGCTATCCGTGTTCTTCACAAAAGATGGAACACTTCCTGGAGGAATATTTAGCAGGTTGGTTTATAGTCTCTAGGGACCTTGGCAGTTATACTTTCCACTTTCCACTATGTGATACATGACATGATGTGCAACAACACTCTGAGATGCAATAATAACAATAATAATAATTTGCTGATGACCATGTGTTTTGCTACTCTGTTCATGGGAATACAAGGCTGTACAGCTGTCAGATAACTGCAGCACACAGTTTGGTGTCACAGCCCTCTCCAGCTATCTTGAGGAATTTCGTATGAGACGTGATGTGTAGACTGTAACTGTACGTTTTCTTTTTAGGTATAGATATGATCAGTTGCTTTTCAATGAATCAAATTGTGTGCTTTGGTGAGGACTGTCTATGTCAGTACAGTTATTAGAGAGGAAAAATTTCTGTTATTATTGACATCACCTCTTTTTTGTATCATGCAATCACAAGATCAGTGTCAACTATCAGTAGTTGCATCATGGTGATACAGTCATACATATGTGTCAATTTGCATAAAATGGTATATCTTTGCAGCACTATTTGATATCTTGTTTTCTACCAGGGCTGAAGCTCTGTGTGAGCTTCTTTTTAGAGCTTAAAAGGAAGCCAAGGAGGGTTTAAATCAGAGTTTGTTCTAATCTATGTCTTGTAATCTGTTATCTCTAATCTTGCAGGCCCATTCCAGAAGACAAGTACCGGACATTGTAAATTTAATATGCCCTCTACTACAGTAATCCATGGACCAGGCAGTTCATGTATGCCTTTGCTTACATCACTTCTCCATAGAGTGCTTACACGGAAGAGTATTTCTGAAGGGAAAGCTCTCTCTAGTGTTTTATATTATATACATATGCTCTACTTAGTTGTGGGCTAACATGATAGATAAACCCTAGGCCTTCCATAACTACATTTTTATAGTTGCCATGCCCACTGTTAATGAATATTGTGTGGCAAGGAGACAAGTTTGTTACATTTTTGAAATATGTACATACATGTACGTGTGTTAACTTGTTTTCTCTTCCATGGATGGAGGAAGTGTGACTCTATTAATTTATGTGTCACATAGGCGTGATTCATGTTTTCTAGTAAGAGTTTTATTGTTTTGTCTCAATATAACCACTTGCCATTGGATGTACAGTGGAACCCTGTTAATCTGGTCACCAAGGGGCCACAAAAAACTGACCCTATTAACAGGGTGGCTATACGGTGGGGTCCCACTGTAGATACCCTGTTAGGCAGAGATAAGAAAAGGGATTCTCTGTCTTTTAGGTTACTGGATCAAGTCTGTGCAAATTAGTTGTTAGTTTTAGAATGCTTTTCTTTTCTTAATTGTTGATACCTTTGATGGATAATATTAACCATTTGTTTACTATATTTGAGGGGTAGTGGATAGTATTTTTCCAGACATTGAACAAGCATCGCAAAATATTAGGTTATTAAACTGAGTGCATGCAATAACTTAGTGACTGTAGATCCAGTCATTGATTGTTTGCTAAATTTGTGATCATTTAAGTTTGATTGCAACTCACTTTCATTTATCCTGTTAGGGCCATAGCCAGTACGAGGCAAACCGAGGCACTTGCCTCCTCAGTGACTTTTTTTGTTGTTGCTTTCTTTTTTTGTAGAGGAAAGTGCTAAATACCTAAGTAGAGATTTTTACCATGGACATTGTCTCAGTCATAATTTATTTCTGGCTACGGCCTTGTCTATTATTTTGTAAACTGCAAAATGGGTATTGGCTACCACTGTTACTAAAACTTCACTCCCAAGAACTTACATTAAGTGTATTGTAAAACAAAGCAGTGTATGGAGACAGAACCTTCAAGCAGGCTTCTTGACGACAGTCATCTAGTGTCCTGGGGACTCTGAATGACTGATCTGGTTTTTCATATAGAGTTTTGCTTTTACAGATCTGATCAGAGTGAAGAATTGAAGCAGTGCTTCAACTTGGTTGCACTATTGCTAAATACATATTGAATACCATGCTAGATGAAATTAGCAGTTTACACTGGCAGTTTTAATGAGAAATTATTTTGTTAGTTATATCTATTTAGAAACCAAAAGAACAAACTTATGATTGTAGTTAGACCTTTTGCAAGTGTTTATTTGACTGTTTGAGTATAAGTGTGCTATAATTTATAGTAACCAGCTTTTTTTTCAACTTTCTCAAATTTATAATAATTAATGAAAAGTTAAACCATTAATTTAAAGACATCTACAGCTAAGAGAAAATACTGTAGACCTATGAGAGCAAATAAGAAGAGTTTTAATATTACAAAGATTTAGGTAAATAACATTGACGAGCTCAAACCCTGCCATAAGATATTCCTTCAAATATTTTAGAATTTGATTGCAGGGCAAGCAATGGAGTATTTATTAACATTTCACTTAATGATAGGTATGTGTGTATGTAGTAAATGGTGCTATTGAAATGAATCTGTTCATCTCAAATGGTTGTTGATGGTTATAACATTTTCAGCTGACCAAATATTAGTTCTAATCATTTAAATTGGTCGCACTGTAAATTATGAGTGAGTGTTATAGGTGTAAGGATCCACGCCATACAAAAAGAAAATCATCGTTATCAGTGAAGGAGTCCTATTCCAGGGATTGCGTAATGTTCTATGCATGTAGACCAGATTGGTTGTTTAATTTAATGCAAATCCTTTGAATGATGATTTTTTAAAATGTGCACTACACATTTGTCAAAGAAATTTAGGATCATTAAGCTTATTGTCTACTTTCACAACTTGAAGGAATACTTGTTCCCAGATCTTATCGTATTTCGTGGCCACTGGGGCCTAGGCATGGGTGTGGTTGTTGCTGAAAAACTTGTTATTTTTTTGCTTTGCGGGGTAAGGTGTTGGGGAATGCAACATGCCTATATTGTGTAGAAGACAAAACATCAAGGCTACACTAGCTAGAATGGTTTTCTTTGGTCGTCACCAGTCATTCCCAGCTATTGTTAAAAATGCTTTTATTTCTTATCGCGTGATACTTGAGCAGAAAGTGAAGATGACTTTAAGTGGTTGAATAATGTTGGTAGTGCATGATGTGGTAGGATGTTAAAAGAGCTCTAGGGAAAAGTTCTTTCATGGTGAAGTTCTTCAGCTGGTTCTGAAGACCGCGCCAAGACCTTACTCTGCTGCTCTTTGACATTAAGTGAAGGGTGATCTAAGATTTTATTCTCCATTTTATAGTCACTCGCTGGTTTAATTTTAGAATGTAAATAAAGCAAATTGTTGTCACAGCTGTAGTCACGGGCTTGTTTTTGGTGCCACTTTTGGGCTCAAGTTACTACTAGTCTCGTGATATAGGTCGTCAACCGCATCCTAGTAACCAACGATCAGCCGAGCTGGAAAAGTCAACACTTCTGGTGAAGAAGTTGGTTGAAACTTGGCCAAACTTGCCGGTAATTCAACCGATCAATGTCTCTTTCATTCCTTCGCTGTTGACCCCGCGCTAGTCAGCCTTTCCTTACCTCTCTCTCTCTCTCTCTCTCTCTCTCTCTCTCTCTCTCTCTCTGTCTCGATTCTGGTCGAGATGAGCTTAACAGGCTAAGTGTCTCATGGAGGATTTAATTTGTCGTTTTTCGCTTCCTATCGTTGTGTACAATGAGTTTTAAGAGTAAATTTTGCCGAGTCCTTACAGTGCGCGAGAGCTTATCCGGGTCAGGGTTGCCACAGATCAGGAAATGGACATGGAAAAAAATTCTTCAAGGTCAGGGAAAAGTCGGGGAATTTAAATTTGAGTCAGGGAAAATAGACATTTAGAAGAAAAGTCAGGGAAAATCGAAATAATTTAATACGGCTGAGTTAATACCATTGAAGGCACAACGATATTTATCAGTCCTATTGAATGAGTGGAAAAGAGGGCTTTATGTTCACACCAGAAGCCGCTACTAGTTCTGATATTTTGTGTGCGTGTCCATTTACTCAGGGAAATTGTATTTTTATAAGGGAAAAGTCAGGGTGTTTTGATAAGTGATATCCGTGGCATCAATGTGGGTTTCCGTTGCAGGAAGGGGCTACCAGCAGTATTCTACGTATACTCCCCCAAGATGGAGAGCTAGTGCCTCGCAGGGCTGTCCCCGGCCTAGTCTCCTTCGCAGCCGTTTTTTGGGATGTGACATCCCAAACTAGTAACATTTAGCTGATCCTCCTTTTAATGTTATTTTATTGAAGTATCCCCCATCATAGCTATTAATTAATTTCGTGCTTCCCCCCTCAATGTCTTCGCACACATATTCACCTTTCGACGTGTATATTTACCGCTTTTAACGGTCATGTGACAGTAATATTTCGAACTATGATGCTGACTTAATGAAGCCGCCATGGTGCAGTCTCTTGATCCGTGTCTTCGATTCCCGATATCTGATCAGGGTTCTTAGCAGAAGTTTTCACAGGCGTCCAATAAAGCATAATAGGCGGCATCTGAATTAAAGTGAGGCCCGATTCGCCCGATGGGGCAAGCTAGCGTAGGACGTTCGGCGGTATGCTCCCCGGAGAATTTTGAGATTGTAGGTTGCCAAATGCATTTTAGGGGGCAAAGTGTTACGGAAAATCGAGGGTTTTATGATCATAAAAGTAGATGTAGCATGTAGCGCTGTTTCACCTTTTTAATTAAAATACCATTTTCTTCTTGAAACGTCTCAGTCTGCAAGTTTTAACTTCTTGTTATATGTGTAGAAATTTTGATGACTGGAGCAGGTGGCCGGCTACATTCGATTTTACAGCCGGTAGAAATCCGCTGTTCTACTGAGAACCCTGTGATTGATGTCAGTTGACATACCAGCAACTAACCATCCCAAGTGATTGGAAACTGCAAAGTTACTTTCTAGAGTGCCAAATAGCCGTCCACCAAGTCTGTTTGGGCATGTAACATTTAGTGATCCCCCTTTTGGGCTTTCAGTTATGACTGATCCTCCCTCCTGTCATCCTAAAAATCCAAGGATCCCCCCCCAAAAAAATCTTCCTCCCCCCCCCCCGCGATAAATAATGACCGGTCCCTATGTAATGTGCAATACGATGGAAGTAATTATAAACCTGGAGTCTGATCATTTATGAATAGCTAGTAAGGTCCCAATTGATAGCTGGGCCAGGCATATTTTATCTGTTTATTCCTTATTTTCTATGGTAATTTTTGTTGCCATTTCTTGAGGTCCTACTTACAGGTAACCGGCTTTTAATCGAACACATACGGCAACTGTTGTTTTTCATGGTTGAAGATACTAAGCAGAATAATCTTTAATACTTCAATATTGCTATTCAAAGGTAAAAAAAATCCCCGCAAGTTATAAAGGAAAATAAAATAGACGCCCCATGCAAAAGAAAACCACTGCAAGGCTCGTTGGCTCTTGAATGGTTTTCTTCTCCACAAAATGTTTGAGAAAAGCGTTTCACGCCGAGATGCTGAATTGATTTTCATTGCAATTTAAACTAAAATTTCCACTTCTCATTTTTACTATTTTGGCGAAAAAAAAAACGGTGCCCCATGTTTTTCACTTACACCCCGTGTTTTCCACTTACACCCCCTGTTTTGCTCTTAATTGTTGTCCACCAGTACCTCGTGTTTTCCAACAGAACCCGTGTTTTCCACTTAGACCACGTGTTTTCCACCATACCCCGTGTTTTCCACCAGACCCCTTGTTTTGCACCAGACCCCGTGTTTTCCACCGGATCCCATGTTTTTCACTTAGACCCCGTGTTTTCCACCAGACCCCGCGTTTTTCAACTCCTCCGGGATCCCGTACCCCAGGCACGAAACGATAGTTTTGATTGTTCGTGCTTGGACGGT